CCCCCCCCGCCCCCCGGCCACTCTTCCCCTCGGGCATCCTTATCCTTTCCGACCTTTCATCTGCCCTCTCTTGTGACCTCATGTGGGGCCACACAAAAATCAAACAAAGCCATGTCCCCTCACACCCCGCATCTCCTCCGCTGATGGCTTGAGTCTGGTCTTCCTCCGGGTACCCTCTCCCTGCCATGTCTCCCTTCCCATGTAAAGCCCAAAGCCAAGAGACCCCAGCAACTGCCTAGAGGCCCCACACAGCCGGCCAGTGTCCAGTCTCCTGAGCACATGGGACCCCGTCAGAGTGGTGCTTGTGTGTGGAGTAAGGTGACGCAGTAGTTGTCTCCTGACTGGAAGATTTCCTCTATTCTTTCAGCACGTTCTCATCTGGGCGGGAATTTTTAAGTTTGCTTTTCGAGAAATCCCAGGTGAGCTAGCCACTGAAGATGTCCCCACCCTGAACTGCTTCTTAGAAACCAGCAGTGGGGGCCACTGTGATAAAGAACTTACCATGCCCCTAGCCCCCTGCCCTTCGTCCAGATGACAGTAGGCTTCTCTTAAGATGACATCATCCCTGATCCTGCCATCACCTCCACATAGTAGCTCCTCACAGCTGATGAGGTCAGGGTGGGAGGTGTGAATCAGAGGGGACTTGCTTGTGCCAGGGGCCAGTGTGGGTGACCAGGGGTGAAAGTGACTGTGGGAGAGGGCCCTGATCTCACCCTGGAACAGCAGTGGGAGGATCCCCAGAGATCCTATCACCTGGTCCTGTGGACCTACGTCCAGGGAACTCTGGACAACGCTTCAGGACCTGGGCACCACGACCCAGTTCCAAAGCTGCTGGAGTGGTTCCCGCTGCCAGGAGAATGTCGCCCTTGTTCTCGGGATGCATCCCACTCAGAAGGTACTGAGGCACGTTGAGCCTGAACTCCAGGAGAACACAGACTGGGGAGATACCACCTGGGGAGTTACCACTCGTCCATCAGGGGCTGGAGAGCGGGGGCCTGTGGTAGGCACATAGGAAGGCAGCCAGTGGTGGGGGCCATGACAGAAACACAGGGCTCCTGGGTTGTGAGGCAGGAGTGTGAGGACACAGGACAAGGCCCAGCTTCAGTGTCAGTTGTTGGTCCACCAAGGGGACAGCACCTGCTGCTTGCTGGCTGGCTCAGCGAGGCTGGAACAGGAGGGCTCCCCTGGGGTGGGTCTGTGAAGAGGTATCGAGAGGGGTCAGCTCCTCCTGGACAGGACAGGAGTGATCCTGGAGCTGCAGGAAAGGTCTGTCACAAGCAGGGGGCAGTGCCAAGTGTGGCGGGGGACAGATATCCACTTCCCTGGGGAGGTGACTATTCACCACTGACTGGTGGTTAGGCTGTTAATGAGATCAGTGGCTTGCCACGTCCTCCCAGGAGTTACAGTTCCGGAAACCTGCTGGAGGGTCGTACCGATTCGACAGCAGTTGGGTGTGGGAGCTGATGGGGCAGGATCCTGGGGCTCCAAACTCTGACCTCCTCCACGTCAGAGGCTCACATGACAGTTGCATCTCTCCTAGAGCATTTTTGGGGGCTGGGGCCCCAGGCTGGAAGGTCCTTCCCTCACAGAGCCTGAGCAGCCACTGGGTGGAGGCCAGGGTCAGAAGGCCTGCAGTGGGCTGATCCAGACCCAGATGTGAGGAGTCTGTGCCCAGGATACATACTGTGCCAGGCCTCCCAGTGAGGGCCCCAGGACACAGCTACTTATGCAGCGAGTTCAGGGGCCACGCCAGCTTCAGACAGGGGCCCGGACTTCACACAGCCTTGTCTGGAGGAAGACTAACCTGCGGGCACCCCCAAATGAAGAGGAAGCAGCTGTTCTTCCCACATGACGGGGCCTTGGTGCTCTTTAAGAGGAACATGAGCTAAGCACATGGCCAGCAGGTGGGACAGAGCTGCTGCTGGAGCCCTGCCTGCCCAGTGTTAAGTGCTGCTCTGCCCACACCCCAGGGTCTTGGGCGTCTGTAGGGCACCACCTGATCTTAATCATTTCCCATTGTCAGGGCAGTGAAGGTTGGGGAGATAGCTGGTCAGCATTCAGTCCATCTCTGATACCCACCACCAGGGGTTTACCAGGTGGGTGGTACCTGTCGCCTTTACGGAGGTGGGTGCTCTGCTGTTCACCCTGGCTAGCAAGGGCCACATCACCCTGCCCCAAAATCCAGTGCAGCAGTCCAAGCACTCCATGCTGGGGGTCGTGCCCTGGCATCCTCAACCAAGTGGACTCTCCAGTAAAGATTTCCAGAATAAAACTTCCTGGACTGACCCATGTTCTCTTCACTACTGTTCCAAGAATGGTGTCCAACCACCACTCCCAGGTCACCCTTTAGTTTGTTACAGGGTCGCTACAGTTAAGAGGTTTCCAGCAGATGATGGCTGAAGGGCAGTGTCATGGCCACAAGAACATTCCACCTGCTCCAGTATCAGAACCCAGAAGGACAGTGGCACTGGAGGAGGTGGCTTTTGTCCTGAGAAGCAGCATTTCCCAAGCTGGACCCTGCCCAGGTTTGCTGTCCCCATCATGCATGAACACTGAGGGTATGAACAGGATTGAGTAGTTTTCTGGTCCCTGGATGTGTGGAATGGGCCTTCATTTTTGGTCCTGAGCGAGGAAGGAGCTGGTGCTTCCTTGGAGACAGCCAGTGCACCCACAGCCTGAGGGGACAGAGCCAAAGTTCCCACCTGTGGGTGGTAGTCAGACCAAGCCCATTGCCCTCCTAGTCTTGGCCTAAGAATGGGAGTGGGGTTGGGGTGTACAGGGACCCCTGCACAGCCAGCTCATTGCAGAGGTGTGGCTCCCACCAGGTGGCCGTTGGGCTGTGTGCTGAGCCTGCCCTGGGTGCACTTCTTTGCTGGGACTTTGGGAGTGCATCACCATCATGCATTAAGCGGGAGGGTGTGCAGGGCAGGTGACTCCTGGAGCCAGCAGGTCTCCCCTGTAAGTTGGCAGGAAGACTGAAGTCACTGGGCGTAGCACTCACCAAACCTCAGAGCAGGTCCCCCCAGTCATGTCCTGCCCCCAAAGCCCTTCAGATAGAAGGCCCGTCCACACAGCTCCAGATCACTTTATTCTAGACTTTCATTTCAGCTTGGGTTGCTTCCAGCACTTTTCCTGCACCTGGACAGGGTTTCATGTCCCTGAAAAGATTCCCCAGCACCGAGTTGGGCTGGTGGGGACACGTACGAGCACAGTCAGCACAAGCTCAGGTCAGTCGCCACTGCTTGGCGTTTCCCAGTTAGCAAATGGTGAGCTGGCCGTGGTCTCCCAGCTCCCAAGACACACTCGACTTGGTGGTGCCAACACGTGATCAGACAGCCCTGTGATGCCCGACGTCCAGCACTCAGGGCACGAGGGGACACGGACACTAAACCCAGTGCACTGCCTGGATGAACTGGCTGTGCGGAGCACGCTCCCTTCCACCTGAACAAAGTGTCCGGCTGCCAGTGAGCAGAGAACAGTAGAAAAATACTTGAATAGTGGAAAACAAAAAAGCTTAGATTGCAAGTACAAAAGTTAAAAAGACACCTAATGTCCAAGACACAGAAAACACTTAAAATCCATTATCTACCCTGTGAGGCTGGTGCAGCCCATGACCCAAGTTCTTGGGGGCTGCTGCCCAGGACAAGTCAGTGGCCAGAAGTCCACCCTGGTCTAGAAACCATGACAGAGCCTGCCTCCATGCACAGAAGGCGGAGGGGCCAGTCAGGAGGACACTGGCCTTGGCGACAACCAGCTGATCTGGCTGTTCTTCCAGTCCATGGACAGAATGGACTGTGCCTGTGGCCACAGTGAAGGACTGACCAGGCCATAGTGGACTGCTGTGGCCACCCACACAGCTCCTCTCAGGTCTCCACCAGGATCTCCACAATATGGTCGAGCTCGCCCAGGTCAGCCTTGCAGCTGGGGCTGGGGGACACAGCAGACAGGGGCACCAAGCCCTCAAGTGGGTCACAGGGGCTGGGCCTGCCACTGCCCGTCAGCATCGAGTCCAAGTCATAATAGGGACCATCCCTGTCAGACAGCAGATCCTCCATGCTGCTGGGGCTTCTGCTTTCCAGGGTCTCAAAGAGCTGGTCCAGAGACTTCTGGAAGCTTCCCCGAGACCCATCTACTTCCCAGACGCTGCTGGGAGGAGGTCTGGGTCCCTGTGCAGCGGGTACTGAGGGCAGGTCCAGACCTGTGCTGTCCAGGAGGCCCACTGGCAATCCGCTATTGTGGGGCTCTGGCCGCCGCAGCTCCTGCTCGCATGGTGACCGGCACAGGATGTCCGTGGAGACGAGGCGGTCAGGCAGTGCGGGCCCGGGTGTCGGTGGGGCCAGCAGGCGCCAGGTGCCGTCCTGGGTCATGTCCTCCTGGATCTGCCGCACAGTGTTGGCGATGAGGACAGAGCGACACAGGTTGGGCTCCACCAGCATGTGGCACAGCTGCAGCTTCACCAGCGACATGTCCAGCAGGGACTGCCGCTGCAGGTCGTAGGACGCCACGCGGATGCCCGGGGGCCCCGAGGCCGCATCCTCACTGTCTGCACTCTTCCTCTTCAGTCCTCGGGAAAACATCATGTCCTGTGGAGACCAAGCAGAGGTCACTCAGCAGTCACCAGTCCCACCCTTGTGGAGAGGACAGGCCAGCAGCCGCCAGAATGGAGGGGACCCTGTGCCTCTTGTCTAGGCTGGGAACAGACAAACCTGGTGAGTGTGATCACACCACGCAAGAGAGCCCCATGTCCAGTGTAGCCTGGGCAGACGCCCACCTGCCAGTCACTGGTGCACAGCTCTAGGGGATGTCACCCCACACCCATGCACACACACTTCCATCCCCATCTGTACACCTCATCCCACAAACCTCTGCCCCTGGGGGACATCACCCCCATCTCCCTGGAGGACAGCAATATGTCCCCATCTGCATAACCCTTAGCCAGCTTGGTCAGGCCTGTTTTATGCAGCTGGGCCCTGGGTCCCCTAACCTCTGGTTCAGGCCTTGTGCACAGGGGTGACCGTACTGGAACAGTGGACACAGCTGACACAGGTTCCAGCTCTCAGACCACGACTGGCTGAAATGGCAGATTCCTGGGCCCCAGCCCGGGTTAGCTGAGGCCTGGCCAGGACGGGGCACCTACCACCATAGTGAAGCCACGGCCCAGCCCCAAGGTGTGTCCAGTGCACAGCCAGTGGCCCCACGCTCATGTAGGGTAAGGGCCCTGAGGACACTGGAGCTCATGGGCCACACTATGGCTGCTGGGCCTCAGCTGTTCACTAAGATGCCCAAGAACAGCCCAACGTCCACCCAGTGCTGACATGGACGCCCACATGGACCCTCGACACCCACATGAATGCCCGCTGACAGCCTGGCCCAACGCTCACATAGATGCCCAATGCCCACACAGACTGACAGCCCGGCTGGTCATCCACATGGACGCCAACAGCCTGGGCTGCTGCCCACACGGAGCCTGAGCACAGGATCCTGGAAGTGTCAAACCTGGTAACAGACAGTAAAGAGCATGTGCAAAGGGTGGAAGGTGGAGCTCTCCGGCCTGGAACTGCTCTGAGGGAGTGGACTTAGGTGACCTCGCACTATGGTAAGTGGTCTGAACAGTCCTGCTCATCTCATCACCTGTGGGAATTTAAGAGGTGGCCCCTCCCACTAAGGCTGATGCCAGGACCTACAAACTGACCCCACCCCCCAGCGTCCTGTGTCTTCCTCCAGTGGTGCCTCCCTCACCTGGGTTTTCACCTGTTCCCACAAGAGCACTCTGCCTGGTTCATGGCTATCCCCACCTGGGCCCCTCACCTAAGACCCCCTCCCCATCAGTGGTCAGTCTGGTCCCACAGGAGGGCCATTATTTGGCACAGGTGTCATTCCATGTGTGCCCCAGGGGCCCAGGCCATGGAGGATGCCAGTGACATTGGGTCTCAGGTTAAATATGGACACTATTGGAAAGGGTTCAAAGTAGAGATCCAGGCTCTTACGTGTGCCACCTGGGGGAAAGCCAGGGGCTATACGCACTGTCTCAGGCCCCAATGCCAGCATCCCATCAGAGAACCTTCTAGAACAGAAAGAAAAAGCCATCAGGCATTTAGGGTCTCTCAGTCACATGTGAAGTACGGATGACACTTCATTCATACAATCACAGTTTTCAATGCACACATTTTACCATCTCTTAAAGGAAACCACTTCTACTCCTCAGACGCTTTCATGATTCTGGGGGCTTCTTTAAATGGGGTGTGACCCATGCTGGGCCCAGGCCATAAGGTCTGCAGGAGGAAGACCTAGCCCACTGCCCACCACTCACCTGTGCTGCTCACCTTCCATCCCCCCACCCGCCACTGTCGCAGGGCCTGTCTTGCCCAGAACACATGTCCCTCCAGAGAACACCCGCGTCCTCATACACGTGCTGCAGCTTTGCTAGTGACAAGCCCCCCAGACAGCCACCCGCACCTTCCCTGAGCTCGATGGGAACAGCGGTCACCCTGCACCTGCTTGCCCAGCAGCCCAAGGCTCACAGGAATGAGGACTGAGCCTGGGGGAGGAACGCCATCGCAGGCCACACGGCCTAGACACGACAGAGATGGGCTGGGGGACCCAGCAGTAGTGCCACAGTGCCACATCTGTGCCGCATGCGGAGACCCACAATTGCAGGGGCTGTGTGCCACGTTCTGTGAGGGCAGACACTAGCCCCAGACATGGACACTAGTCCAGAGCACCAGTGCCCACACCACGGGGGGGCTATGTAGTGGGCTTCCCCAAGTCGCTGTGTGCCGGGGTGCGAGCATGCAGCTGGGACCTGTCCAGGCTTGAACTGAGCAAGCCTGTGGGCAGAAAACGGGACCCCACTGACCTGGAAGGAGGAACCAGCTGCAGTGGGAGCCAGGGGAGCAGTGACAGTGGAGATGGCAGCTGGGGCAGTGGAGGCGAATGGGGACACAGGGCAGCGGGAGGGCTGAGCCCAGAGTAGGGCCCAGGATGGGAGAGGAGTTCAGGGCTGGCCTGACGTGCTGAAGGGACCCTGTCGTCCCCAACACTAGTGACAACTTCCCTACAAAGCCTCCAGAACCTTCTGTGTGCCCACCATACTCAAACATCAAGCTGACCAGGCAGAGTGAGCCCTGGGGGGTATGGCTGGATGTGCAGAACTGGACTGGACGTGGAGGCCTGCCTGAATGCAAGGAGAAGAGTGGGGCCGTGGATGGCGTGGGGAGCTCCTGGGCCAGGAGGGTTGGGGTGCACAGAACATGGGGCCCATCTGTGCGCAAAAGGATAAGCAGGGCTGGAGGGGTTTGGGGTGCAGCCGGACATGCAGGAAATCGGACGTGAGGGCCCTCTGTGTGCACAGGGAGGAGCGGGGCTGTGGATGGTGAGGGATTGAGGTGCAAGAATCAGACGTGAGGGCCATCTGTGTAAAGGGACAAGCAAGGCCCAGGATGGTGTGGGGAGGACTCCTGAGCCTAGGGGGGTCAGGGTACAGCTGGACACAGTTACCAGATGTGAGGGCCCACCTGTGCACACAGGGATGAGGGGGGCCGTGGACAATGTGAGAGGCTGGGGTGCAGGAATCGGATGTGAGAGCCTATCTGTGTGCACAGGAACAAGTGGGGGGCCATGGACGGCGTGGGGCTCTCCTGCTGTCCCCCCACCCCCAGGTTAAACCGTACTGCCGGTTTCCCACAGACCAGCTTGCACACCAACACGGCCAGGCTGCCAGAGCTGCGGGGCTGTAGAGCCAAGCTCTTGGGCCGCCGTGAACACCATGACACCCCAGCATGAAACTCCTTGGGGCCAAGGACCTGACCGCTGTCAGAAGTCCAACCTTAGAAAGAGACATGCTGGGAAAGGTGGAAGATCAGAGAGAGATGCCTCTGGACACGGGGACTACAATACCATGGAGATGACGTGTGGATGGCGTCCCCAAGTCCCAGCCCACTCGCCTGTACCTCACAAGCTTATCGATCAGGACCCTGTGGGGCTGTGGAGTCAGTGTCCCAGCCCACCAGCCATGCTAGGGAGGTCAATAACAGCTCGGAAATCCCACAGGGCTGCCGTCATCACTGTCGCCTCCGGGGCGGTGGCTGATATGCCCAGGAGAAGCGAAGGCAGGACCAGAGTCCAGGACCCCAGGGTCCACTGAGTCCCTTTCCCAAAAGCCAAAGATGGATACTGTGAGCCGTCTCCCTCCAAGTGACACATGGCACAGTCCATCCACATAACAGGTTCAGCTCAGCCGGACAGGCCACAGCGTGCGTGGACCTTGGCATCTTGTTGAGCACCTCAGTCACAAAGAGGCACGTGTCCTAAGGGGACACCAAGATGTGTCCTAAGGGGACACCGGGGAGGAAGTGTGTCAGTGGCCACAGCTGGGGCTGTGGATTCATGTTAATACTGTCAGTGGTGGAAGGATTCCAAGAAGAGGTTCACAGCCTGGAAAATGGAATCCATGCCAATAATCGCAGGAACTAGTGAACGGATGTCAGAACTAAAGAAAAAGGCTGATTTAAGGCCGCCAGGGGCAAGGCAGGAAGGAGGGGCCTCAGAGATGAGCAGAGGAAAACAAGGCTGAGGCAGAGTGTATTGGGGTTTCACAGCTGACATCTACCTACAGAAAACTCCCCACCCCAACCTTCACTCACCACACTGCATGCAGCCCTGTTTGGGGGTCCGGCAGTTCCCCAGGGCAGGGGAAGAAGATTCCAACACAGCTCCGGCCTGAGTCCCAGCCTCCCGCAGACCTGAGCCCTGGCTGCCCCCACACTGGACCTCCAGCAGCCACCTGGAGGATGTGGCTCAGGCCACTGTCCACATCCACCCCAGGATCAGGTCTGCTCTCAAACACATCATCAAAGAAAAGCTGGGAGATGGAGCAAGCGCGACTCCTGGCAGGCAGAGAGGGGCGGTGGCCTGGACATCACACCAGGGTCACTGCGACTTCCCGGTCACTTAGCGCTGCTCCAGTTTGAGTGAAGTGTGTTCCAGAGAACCTTGGGAAGGATTCCTTGCTCTTCCCAGAAGGAACTTTTCCCTTTTGATCCTTCTTTGTTATGAGGTAAGCTGACACTGGGAATGTGGAGCAGTCATGTATACGTGTTTTACAAGACATTCATTCTGCAAACAGGTGGCTTCTTCCCAAGGCCCACTGTCACTTGGTAGGTCCGCCCAGAAGACCCTCTGGGGCATCTGCCATCTCTTTTGAACACAGCTTCTTTAGATCAAGAGTGAAGTTTGTGGTTAGTGACTTCCTGGGCCAGCTCACAGGGTCACAGTGGACCCACAGATCCTATCCTGGATGTCCCTTGTCCAAAACCTCCTTTTTAGGTCTGCTGAATACAAAACCGTGAAGGACCAGTGGTGCAGATTAAACCACCAAGTCTGGGCAGTGCTTTCCTGACACCCCTCACAAGCCTGGGGGACTGACAATCCCCCCACCCGACCCTCACACAGGAGTGAGCCACTGTGAAATGTACTTGGTGCTTTTTAAAGAGCTCCAAGAGCAAGCTGCCCCCCTGCGTGTCACTCTGGGGGACACTGTATGAGCAAATGAGAGAAGACCTACAAGGAGCTGCTCCAT